TCATGGGGAGTGTTCTGAGGAATTGTTCGGATTGATACCTGCTGCTGATTTTCACCACCGTACAACCCGCCACAAACTAAAGTTTCATCCCAATCATCTGGACGAGTGGCGGTCTTCCACCGTGCGTTTTTCAAGGCACTTTCTTCCACGCACAACCATTCTTTGGAATCAACTTCCAGCAGCAGTATTTCCGAACCGATACGACAACATAACCTTCAAGAAAAGAGTATATTTCTTTTTAAAAGGCCGGCAGCACACCTGCAATGCCGCTGGTGTTGTGGGTGATCATGGGCGGCGGTAGTCACTTACCATCAGGTGAGCCGCATGCTCGTTTGCCCCCTGTGTTGTAAAAAAAAAAAAAAAAAAAAAAACTTGTGTAGCCGAAGTAACCGATTGCTATTCGTTTCCATAGTTGTATTTTTTTTATACTTTTAAAACTAAGGCTCTACGCAAGCTTCTGAATATATTAAGATAGAAATTTTAAGATTTTAAAATTATAAAACGATAAAAAAATTTATAGTCTCTCATGCAAAGTGCCATGTCAGTATAGGGGCTCAATTTCCTTGTCTTTTTTAAGCCATATCCTTTGGTGAAAACGTCAAGTTGGGTCACGATTTCGATTCTATTCTGTACTAGCTTTTACCGCGACTTCGTCCGCACGACGGAGATAAAAATTAGCTTATTCTTTTCCATTCTACATATGTAGTATGTGTATACCAAATTTCACAGTGATTGATTAGGCCGTTAAGGCGGTATAAAGTAACAAACAAATTCGCTTTTACATTTATAGTATTTATTTTACACTAAAATTAATTTTACGCATTTTTTAGTAGGTAAATATTAAAAAAAAATGTAAGAAGGTCCTTACTAAATGAAAACTGGTATCCGCTGCTTGTATCGCCCACAATGTAAATAAAAATGTATATTTAGAAAAGACTGTACTTGCATTTATAATGCATTCCGAGTACATATGGTATTTTGTAAATAGTATGTACTTAGTATAGAATTTATTTTAATAAATTTGTTATAATATTTATTAAGCAGGCGGTGTTCAGCTTAAATAAGTTGCTATGTGCTACAATGGGAAGATGAGAAATGGTTGAGTTTATTTGTAATTATATACTACAGGGAGACTGTACAAAAGTCGTTTGCTTGGGTATCTCTGTCCCATTCGTGTTTTAACCGTAAAACAGTTGTGTTTGCATGGCTGTGTTTCGGTTTGAAGGGTGAGATATGGCGTGAATTTACAGAATACAGAGGAATAACACCTGAGTCCTCAAGAATGGCAACGCATGGGGGGTATCATGGGCGAAACAGTATACTCTGTTGTGTCCATGGTACTGCTCATGTCTATAGGCGACGGTTACCACTTTCCATCAGGTGGGCCATCAGCTTGTTTGCCATTCTAAGTTGTATAAAAAATATTGTAAATTCCTACGTACAGTTCTATCATTCATTGAAATCTATCAATAACGTTCCGCAGTAGTGTAAATATTGTATGTATGTACTGCTTTCGCTCACTACGGCTGTACGGTTCGCGAACTTATAGCAGGTATTTGTTTATTTTGGTCTTCCGAGTTCCGACGTTCAAAATTCCAGATGCCTGTTTGTAGGTCAAAGGTGTTTCATATTAAATGGTTCCTACCGGTGATTTGCCTCAATCATTTCAAGCATAGTAGGTAGTTTGGGATTGTTAGCAATGGAGTTTGACAGCCCCATTGCTAGCAATATGCCTTATTAGATCGGCCTTAACGTGGAAACCATTGTGAACAATTCTTGTTGAATTCGTCACGGTGGGCTAACTAGCCTACTTCATCCTCACCTGTCATACTTCACTGGTGCCCCGCCGGTGTATATCGATAGCGCGGGTGATTATCACAAATTTACATTCTAAAAAAATAGCAATTTTTGTCCATATGTGGATATATTCGACGTCTTACGAGGACCTACTATATTTGTTTATTTATTTATGTTTCTGAAAGGTGTAAACAGTGTAAATAAAGACATTAATATCAACTGATATAAAGGACTTGCATCTAGCTGTATGTATTTACACCAATTACAGTGCACAAGACGTTTTCTTAAGATATCGATTTCACATTAATAAAATTAATACTCACAAAACAATGAACAAATTATGACATACAATTTTATAAGAAAGAAATTAATATTTTTTTATACCATTGAGGTGACAAACAAGCATACGGCCCACCTGATGGTGAGCGGTTACCGTAGCCTATGAACGCCTGCAATACCAGGGGTATTATGCGCGCGTTGCCGACCCTGAAGAAACCTCTTTACCCCCCTTTTGAAGAACCCCATTTTTTGGCTCCCACCGGCCCTATGTGTACAAGTATTGCTTAATATTTTATCAAAAATTTTGTATTTATGTTAGACAAAAACTAATATCTGTGTTTTTAATAATAATATATAGAATGCTTCAGGGGCCAGACAAAATTCTACCGCGGGCCGCATTCGGCCCGCGGGCCGTCATTTGCCCAGGTCTGCTCTAAAACATGTTCGCAGCTAAATTTACTTTGCTCAAATTACAAACAAAGTGGGAAATGAGCGCGTAATGAAGTGTGTTAATCAAACAATCGGTTGGTTCGTGACGTATTAAAGAAACAATTTGTCAGTTACTTTTCAACACGAATAACAAAGCAACTACTTTTATTTTACAAATCTGAAATATTTTACAGTTAGATTTCCATTACCTTCTTGATAATTCGTACAATCTGAGTAAACTACATTCATTACTTACGTTATATTCGTCAATTGAATTATAAAAGGAAAAGTGCTCTTTTTTTTATACAACTTAGAATGTCAAACAAGCTGACGGCTCACCTGATAGAAAGTGGTAACCGTCGCCTATAGACATGAGCTGTACCATGGACATAACAGAGTATACTGTTTCGCCCATGATACCCCCCATGCGTTGCCATTCCTGAGGACTCAGGTGTTACTCCTCTGTACCCAGTAAATTCACGCCATATGCCACCCTTCAAGCCGAAACACAGCCATGCAAACAAAACTGCCTCACGGTTGAAACACTAATGGGACAGAGGTACCCAAGCAATCGACTTTTGTACAAAGTCTCCCTCTGCTCAATACGACTGTATTTTTTGTTTTTAAACCATATTTTCACCATTTGTGAAGTAATTTTGATAACCTAATATGTTGTCCTGTGTATCCCGGCCTAGAATGGGCTACCCCTTCCTTTCCCGTAGGTGTCATAAGAGGCAACTAAGGGAACTTATGGTTAAGGAATGGGCAGCAGTGTCTTCTTAAAACAACATTACAAGGTACAGAGGAATAACATTTGAGTCCTCAGGAATGACAACGCATGGGGGGTATCATGGGCGTAACAGTATACTCTGTTATGTACATGGTACTGCTCACGTTTATAGGCGACGGTTACCACTTTACATCAGGTGGGCCGTCAGCTTGTTTGCCATTCTAAGTTGTATAAAAAAAATCACAAAAGGCCTGACTGCGATTGTCAACTTGCCTGCCAAGCGTGGCAACTACTGGCGAAACCCCCTAATCATCTATGGGGACGTCTATGTTAGCAATGGACGGATAATGACTGTGATGATGAATGTGTTACAAAAATGCATTTGACGGTTTGACATTAATTGATTAATTGGACATTAATTGGTAAAGTTGATTTACGTTTCCCAAGTGTATATCGTATACCTCAGTAATTGTAAATTTTAATTATCTCAAAATATTGTGGCAAAAGTCTTTATGATAGTATACGCAAGTCGTGTTCACTGCATGGGCATGCCAAAAGTTAACAAAATGTCTCTGACCATCTCATCTGGGGTATTATAATAAAAAATACATTACGCTCATATGTCAGAGTCGTGAGCATAATATATAGTTTTTATTAATGTCAGTTACCTATAATGACATCAATAAAGAAATGGTACGGCAGTTCCTATTTATGGGAAGGTAATGTCCGTCCGTGTGCGACCGAGTAAGAACACAACTAAATAATGAATTACCTTTTTCTTCATCTCTCAGGTTAATCGTTTATGGAAACGAAGCATGAACACAGCGCAGAAGAAAGAAAACTTGTAACTAGATTTATAACAATATCTTTTTCGCCAAGTTGTTGGGCCAACGTGATAGATAAATAGATAAAGATTTGTTGTTATTTCCCAGAAGATTACAGTAGTAAAATTAACAGAAAAAAACACAACAAGGGCCTTCCTTATTACTACTAAAAGCGATTTGTTCCAGGCTATTAATTTTGGTCGGGGCACGATGAAATTCTGTCTGATTTATAAATAGATATGGAGATATAATACAATAATGTAAATAATAATAATAATAACAATAACTTTACGTTTGCTGGAAGAGAACTCGTTCAGTAGAAAGACTTTCTACATTTGATTACCTAAGTCATAATTGTACGTATAACTAGCTGAGCCCGCGAACTTCGTACCGCCTAACAGTCGATTCTTTACATTTTTAGCTTTTTTAATACTTATTCTGCAATTCGGAGCGCCGGCCGTCAATAATTTTAATTTAATTTAATTTTAATATTATGTTTAAAAATAAAAATTATAAAACACGCCGTGCTACGTCACTCGTTTGTTTTTCCTTCCCGGAACCTCTCCACTGACACTTGAACTTTATGGTATGGTATTAAAGTTCAAATTGACTTCTAAGTATTATTACGAATCGTTTGTATGGGAGTATATAAAATATTTGTTTAAAGACTATATCAGGCAATTTTTAAAATTTTTCTCTCCGTAAAAACTAGCCTCGTACTTTAAGGAATATTCTAAAAAAAGAATTAACGAAAACGGTTCAGCTGTTCTCGAGATTTACGCTTAGTAACGCATGCAACAATTAATTTTTATATTATAGAATATTAGTGTATATAATAAAGTATTAAATAAATATATAAATATACATAAGTGATAAGTGCTAACTGGTCGTTGAGAATCTATGTAATGTCTCAGTGGTAACGATAGTATTTTGTCGAGCAG